ATAAGACGATTCACATGGACCTAAGCACTAAAAAAAGATGTCAAGGATAGAAAATGAATATTGTTAATGGCAAATCATTTACAAAGCACTCCATGTGGTTTCGCCTTTTATACTTTTTTTTGCACCTTCTTCGACCTCAGGAAACTGAATTATGGTTACTATTTTAAATGGAAATAATGATACTTACTTTTTTACAGGCAGATGTTTGACAGGGAATTCCAGTTTCATTGATCGCTGGATTCTGAAAACAGAAAATCACGACGCTTATCAGATATACCAAGGACTATTATAGTTTCGTTATCGCGTTTTCCTTAGTTGCACTCACTCACATACATTGTACTTAAATGCTTAATTGCCTACGTACTTCCCTACTTACTTACTTTCTTACTTACATACTTACTTACTTACTTACTTACTCACTCACTCACTCACTCTCTCCTGTTTACAGACTAATGCGAGTGCTCTTACCAGTAGCGAACGCACTTACTGGCTTTATTAGAATCAACACTCCACGAGGTGTAGACAAGTGCAGTTTGACTCAGAATTTCGAATTCATTTTTATTTCTTGTTTGGGCTGAATCCGTTTTGGTTGGTAAGGTATAGTTACTACTAGATCTGTGTTCGTTATTCGGACGGCTAAACACTTAAGGGCCAGTTATTTAAACGGAGTTTAGCCAGTGTTTAACAGAACCGCGTTCTAAGCCATTTTCATTTCGCCCAATGCTTTTATCTTAACAGCTTTTACCGCGAAAAGTTTCATGAAAGCATAAGGCGTAGACTGGAAGAGAAATTATTTCCTTAAAATTACCTACTGAGGAAGATATCTAAAGGTTCAAGGATTTGCTAAATCGCGGTCTAAGTTAGACTTCGTTTAAATAACCGACCCTTAGGCTTTAAGTTGGTATGCCTTTTCGTGTTTATGAATGAAAGTAGAAAGCATATAGCTTGACAAAATTTGGTAGAGATCGGGGTACATCCACTTGTACAGAAAGCTGATTACAAATACTATAAGACGACTGACCTCTGTCAAGCAGTTTGCATAGCATCTGGCTTTGGTTACAGTAGCAATGTTTGGATTTCCTCTGACCGGGTTACATTGAGTAAGAATCCAGACAAAGAATAAAACTTTGTGGTAAAAGTATATGTCGAACAAACGAGAATGTGTAAGAAGCCACATTTTTCAACCAGCCTTTCCAGATTTCCTTTTAAAAAAGAAAGACAGAATGATCACCACAAACAATGTCGCCAAACTGACATTTACGGTAATGGGTTTCATTTTGGGAAGTAACTCAAATATTACATTTCTTCCCGTCGCAGAAGCCTCTTTGTGCAGTATCTGAGGAGACTGGTGAGAGGTAAGCCCCTCCAGAGAATAATTTTTTTCCGATTCTTTATTTGACTGCAGACCTTGATATCGAGGCAAGCAAAAAACATATGTTCGAACAGACTAATCACGGCGAGTTATGCTCACTTGTCGGATCATAAACGTACCTTTAAAAATTTAAATGTTTAAGATGTGTAACGCGACTGATGCGATAAGTTTATTATATGGATCGACGTAGATTTTTTATAGCGGAGCCCCATAGCTAAGAAAATTTGGTTGTGACGTCAGCGTAAGACCTCCCGTCCGTAAAGACGCTGGGGGAGGGGGAGGGGAGTCAGAAGTCAGCCCGTCGGGGGAGGAGTATGTTATTGCTGAGGTGCTAGGATTTTGCATTCCTAGCACCTCGCTCGTTTCGGCGGTAAATCACAGGGGGTCTTTCTTTCCACGAAATTTTAATGTCTACATTAACTTAGATAACGGGAAAAGAGCTAGAGCGAAAAAACAAATAAAAACGGAGTCCAATTTCTTTGGAAGAAAAACTTGAAGGTTATATAGCGGCGGTTAGAAAATTAGAAATGCTAGTGGCTACCAATGTGAAAATGAGCGGCAGTGAAAAACAGAGTGAACAGAAACAAACATTTCCTCCATAAAACGCGCGCGTAGATAGGAAGTTAAAAGAAGCTTCACGTTTTAGTGGTACAAAACACCAGGTATATCTCATCGATGATCAATGACATCAATGAGTAATCGATGGATAATCAATGAGTAATCAGCTGATTAGTCATTGATTATTGCCGATGATCAATGAATAATCGACGACTAATCGAAGACAAAATATTTTGTGGCCTATTGATTACTCATCGATGTCACTGATTAGTCATTGATGTCATTGATTACTCATTGGTTACCTATTGATAACTCATTTATTACGAATTTCCCGCCAGCTTCTGCTAGTAATATGGAGAAATACTCTTTTTTATTGAAATGATGTTTACCTGTAAATGAAGTTATAACGCAGGCGAGACTGACTCGTCAAGAAGACTCATAAGCTATCCCCTCTTAGACATATGCAAACAAAGCGGTGCTCTCAACAAATACATTTCATTTTTGATTGTACGTTTTCATTAATTTCGTAATGATAACAAAACAGCTTAACGATAATAACATTTCTATAAAGTTGCTGAGCCTTATACGTATCAATAAGCTAAATGGCGTGATATCTCCTTCGGTAGCTGTTTATTTACAAAGAAAAACTGCTTGAACTTTGGAATACTGCCGTCGTAAGCAGCTGCAGTACATCGCAGCGTTGCAACTGGCACTCTCACTTTCATGCAGCTAGGTCTAGCAGAGTATGGTGAGCGGCATTAAAAAGATCGACAAGTTCCGGTTTTTGGCTTTTGAACTGAAGGCAATTCCTTTATCTTTTAATAATTCCTTCAAAACCGCCACTGTCATATTCTCTGCTGGTCCCTGTTTCATACGTTCGTATTTTTTATGTTTTTCCCTTTTCGCCGCTTCCTCGAGTTTCTTTTCCTGGCGTTCAGGTCGTTCGCGGTGCCCTTCGATTTCAGCAACTGTTTCGTTATGTAGGAGAAGAATGACATCTGCTGATGGAGTTAGTGGAATTTTCTGGATGAACTGACGAGAATCAAGAAAAATATATTTTTTTAAAAGAAAAAGCTTCTTCGCCAGCTTTCTATAATTCCCGCGGTGTAAGTTGCAATAAAATCTAAAAAGTCATTAATGTTACCTTCAATCTATTTTCCTTTTTTTATTATTCCCTTATACTAGAAATGTCATTTGCAGCCACTCGATGATATTGATGAGTAATTAATGTATTTAGTGACTAATCAATGCAATCGATGAGTAATCAATGACTGAAAATTTTGTGGCCTATCGATTACTCATCGATTACCAATTGATCATTGGCAATAATCAATGACTAATCAACTGATTACCCATTGATTACTCATCGATTACACATTGATGTCATTGATTTCATTGATGAGACATGCCTGGAAAACAACGGCAAGGAAGTGTCCAAAAAAGTATGCTGCACGTACAAAGTTGTTTTTTTTGCTAATTAGAAAACAAAAAATGTGCTGCACGTGCAAAATTGTTTTCTTGCTAATTAGATCTATTGTTGTTGTTTTTTACCGTTTTCGTTGTTTTCACCTTGTCTTTAGTATTACTCAATTTTATACTCTATTTAAGTAGTCTACAAATATTAAAGAGAGCTTCGCTTTTAGCCCTGGCTAAATCTATATATTATCGTTACTTTCTTTTATGCCTCGAGGTTGTCAAGTTTGCCTAGGAATGAACTTCCGACATTGACTGTTACAGCGCATACATAAAGCGGATGTTATGTCTCTTGACAAGGCTAATAACAAAATTAACTGCTGAAAGGGAGAAATTGGTTTCCCAAAAAAAGTTTTAGGATGTTTTTAAAAAATGTTGACCTTAGTGCTTTCCCTTGCAATCTTACAAAGTTTTTAGAAATGGCACTTAATGAAAATCAGTGCTACTTTCTAACCGTGCGGCTCAAAAGGAACAGGGAGCCATACGTTTTTACCACTCGACGAATACTCAGCTTTCTGTAACGACAAATTCAGCAAGAGACTATTTTTTTCTAGCGCGGTTGTTGTGAAATACTGTAAGCCACTTAGCGAACATGACCATGTTTCATTTTGTTTGGACACGAGATATCGACGCAAGAGTATACTGTGTACTCTATAATGTGTATGTGCTGGATAATTTCTTAGTTACAGTAACATATTTTTAGTCGATTATTTAGTAAATAAACCCCTTCAGACGGCTTGTATTTCGGAGGATAATGCCCGCGGCTGAGAGAGAAGCGAAGCTTTAAGGGTAAATGTAAAATTTTGAGGACAATCTTCTCAGCCAAGGGCATCATCATCCGATATACCAGCAAGCTAGAAAGGGGTTCATTTATTTTATAATCCTCTGATTAATTTTTTACATATCTAAAATATTGGGAGAGAAAGAAAAACAAAAACAAGAGGTGAGCGCGCTTGGAAATAACGAAAGCAAGCACACTGATTGGTTGAATTTTTTTTATTGTAACTGTGACTGGACCAGGGCTTGACTAGACTAAGAGTAGTCCCCCATTTTTCCTTAGCGATAGTGGAGCGAGCGAAACGCGAGCGCGCGTGAACGTGCGCTAGCGTTTCGCACGCTCTACTATCCCTGAGGAAAAATGGGGGACTACTTGTAGTCTAGGGCTTGACAGGCTATCATGTCAAATGAACTCTCGCAACGCCCCACGGAACAAAACTCGAAAAAGCTTCTCTTTTAGTGTATATTTTACCGACACACTGTTTGAAAACAAGGTACTCAAAAAAAGTTTCTAATGGATAAGAAAAGAGAATCCAATCCATATTATTAACTGCAGATGCGAGGGTTAGAAAAATAATAACAACTATGAAACACAGAACCTAAAAAATCTGGAGCAGTTGAAGAATTTATATTAGTGGACTGTTGTAAAACCTGGCTATGTTGCTGTGGATGGTGGAAGCTGGGGAAGTTCTGGAAAGAGAAGGTAGAAGAACTAATGAGGCCCACCCTGTAAGAGCAGGTTGAACTGAACGGAATTTACTTGAGTTATAAATTGCCTATTAAACAATCGATGATGACTCGAACTGTTACTCTGCAGTTGGTTGCGTACTATACGACTCGATCAATTTATTGCCTTCGTGCCCCCGTTAAGCTTTTTCTCTCTCTCCCTTTTTTTTCCATGCTGAAAGTTGCACAAAAACGGCTTATTGTAAACACTTTGTAGTATTCTTTTCCATAACTGACTGCTCATTGCGTAAAAAAATGTATTTAAGTTTCTGTAGGAATGCATTGATATTAGTTCGTAAATTTCGATCATCTTCGATGCATACCAATGCATAGCATATGTAGCAAAAGAAAAGAAGGAAACTACAGAATTAATAAACGCGAACCAAAATCTTTCCAAAAACGATAACTTAAAGTACAATAAATGACTAATGCAAAACGGATAAATGCTCATTTCGGTCAAAATGCCACGAAAATACGTTATAATAATTTATGCATTAGCTTCGGTACATGCAAAGTTCAGCGTCTGAATCATACCCTTTCGAAATTTATTCCAAAGTCGAAATTTCCCGCAAAGCTAGGCGGGAAGAACGGCTGAGCCGTTCCAAATTGAAATGGGTGCTCCTTATTGATTCACACGCCGAACTTTTCATACACTTAATTCAATGTATTAGGTTCGGCATATGAAAAATTTGGCGTCTGTACCGGGCCTTAAAGAGTTTTCAAGTGACGCGGGTATTCCGAGTGCCCAGGACACAGGAGGAAACGTTGATACAAAAAAATTAAGATAGTCCAACTCAAATTGGATAAACTCACAGATAGCGAATATTTGCGGACGCAAGGAGAGAAAAATAATTTTTTATACGCTGGACTATTTCCTAGCGATTTCAATATTTTGGTATCAGATTGGTAGTAGATTATGTAAAATGAATACACTTACGTTTTGTTGAGCTTCAAATACGGGGAATTCAGACAACAAGAAAACTGCCTCAACCTTGCTTTCGTTAGAATGTGAATGATATCATGGTTTCTGTCAGTTGTAAGAGTATCCTGGTTAAAGGGCCTAAATTGTATTGAGATTAGACTATTTACTGAAAGACACAAAATGTGTTATTTTGTAGACGAATGAGGTCATAACACTTTCAATTTAAAGGGCAATATTAATGCACCTTTCTCGGTATATATCTGATCCTTCCAATACTATAATTGCACTATGGAATCATTTTACTACAAATCTTAGTAAGAATCCTTCGGTAAGCCGCCCAAAAAATGCAAAATCGAGGTGAATTCTGGCATGGTAGCTGTAGTTAAATACTGTCATCTTGAAAGTGGCCTATAGAGCGTTTTCACTCACGTGACCCGCATCTATGCAAATTTATGGGAACAAAAAAAATTTTTACCATAAGAAAAGAGTTCAACTCCCACAGGATTTGTTTAGAACACCAATATGGCTGCCGTGACGTCATGACAAAACGCTCTATTGATTCATATGTAATTGTTATTTACAAGCCTCTGCTTTAAAACCAGGGTAAGTGCAAGGTCTTTGAAACGAAAAAAACTTTTTATTCTCGCGCAAACGAAAGTCTTTTTCACCAGAAAGGTTTCGTAACTGGCCTCATTTTGAAAGTTAGGCTTTTTTGAACTCGAAAATGGCCTCTTAATCTGCCTTGTTGATATCGAGATAGGTCAGCCGTAGATTGATGCTTTCTTGGTCACTATTTAAAGAAAAAATGATATCAATATACTTCTCAGCTTTGGCATGCATTCTTCTTACGTGAAGCATAGTTAGTAGAGGAGACAGATTATGAAAGCCAGCAGACATCGACTATGAAAACATTGGTGCTGCAGTTTATGCTGAAAGTTCCCTGACAGCGCACAATCCTTTGCTTTTTGTTCACAAATTGCGACTGAATAAATTAATGCGATGTTTCTATTAGTCACTAAGTTCAAAATGACAGGAATGCTATTGAACGTTGTGCACGGTCAAGTCTATAAAAACTAACAAAAACATATAACAAAGAAGTCTGTCGGGCTTTATAACCATTCCACTTTATCAACTATGCGTAAAGTGATGGATTCACAATTTGCAGTATATAATTATAACTATAACGAAGGAACTACTTTTTAATGTCTTAAGATGGTTAGCACTTTTGCGGATGTATTATTGTGATGACATTTTATTGAAAGTAAATTCTAAGCATGAGACTTAAATTGTTTGTTTTCATTGTAATGTTTGTAATGCGCATTTGATTATTTTTATAGAAAATGCGCAATATGAATATTAAATATTATTATTACTATCTATACAAACGGGGTGCCAAACAACAAAAAAGATATAGATCTCTAAACGACTAAGACGTATCAACGGATGGACTGGATAGTCTTCTATTTATAAACTGTAGGGATATACACTGTATTCGCCGAAAGCATAATATTTTTTGTGGGGTTTGTTACAGTTATGAGAATAAACGAATCTCTCTTTTAAGAGGGTCTCAATGGGGTTAACCGATAGGCGTAAAACGGCCAAAAATTTAGTCGATAGCCGTAAAAATTGAAAAATTTTAACCGTTAGCCGTAAATAGGGTAAAAAAAAGTTAACCGTTAAAGAAATTGTTCCCTAGATTTGCTACTATTAAGGAATTAGGTACTAAACTCACTTATGGTTGCGTTTTTTATTTCTCGGCTAGTGTGGCTCCGTGCGCACGGTAGGTAAAGCGCCTTTTAGGTGAAGACCAAGACCCATTTCCATGTCGGCCGCTCTCTCGGGGAACTTATTTTTTTCCATAGCGAAAGTGTTGCTTCTTGCTGGGGATTAATATTTGCGATTTTCAGAAGGTCGTGCCCTCGAATCACTAGTGAAACAACACGAAGAGATATAACTGTTTGTAAAACAAGTTGCCGATAAACAACATTCCCCTGTTTTTCTCTGACGCTACGGTAGACATTGCCATGCCTAGTCCCTGTACGGCGTCTTCCCACGCAATTTCGGTCAAGGCATTTCGGTGGCGAACTCGCTCGGACCACGTGACCCGAAACGCATTAGCCGCGCGAAATAATAAGGCCTACGGACAAGGCAAAACAGCTGACAGTGGTTCCGTACAGTCCTTCGCTACCATTAAAAACACTGGACACGGGAATTTTATTATTGGCCGTTTTCACACTAGAACTAGAAACGGATTATCCGTCTGAGACTAGCCTGTGTACAGTCGCCCCCTTCCCGACAGACACCCTCTCTCCGATTTTTTTTCTGAGGGGAAGGAGCGGCTGTACACAGGCTATCTGGAACGGATAATCCCGTCTTCAAACTGTCCGTCGAAGTTGAAGGATAAAGTCAGGCGGATTGTTCATGCAAAATTTAAACTATTCCATTTTCAAATTAGGACGTTTTACCTATCTGACGCGAATCATCAAACGGATAATCCGTCTGTAGTGTGAAAACGGCCATTTCTGTTGTAATGAATGTCGCGCCCCGGCCTTGAGAGTAGGCGTTCGCGTGTCGCTTTGCTTTTTCACAAAGATTATTTTTAAATTGACTATTGACATTTTTATGTGTAAAATAATATTAGAAGTGGAATACTTTATAAAAAGTGTGATCTATCAAATGTTAAAATTTTTCAAAAGAATAGCTTATTTCATATCCCGAGATGATCTTAAGACCTTTATTTTGGTTTAAAGATACAAAAAATACAGGTTAATTAACATTTAACTTTTTTAAACAAAAGAAGTTAATTTTTAACTTTTTTGTTAACCGTAACTGAAAAAAATTAGCCGATAGCCGTAAAAGAGCCAAAATTTTAGCCGATAACCGTAAATGCCACCACCCCATTGAGACCCTCTTTTAAACGCCTCCTATCTATAAACGCCCCCGCTTGGGCACCTAAAATTGAATAGAAGGCCCGGCATCTATTAGATCATTTACGGTATAGGTATCGTAGGCGTGCGTTCCACTTATTAGTTTCGAGGTGAATATGTATTTGGCAGATCGTTCGATGTACAAAAAAAAGGGCCCATATGATATACTGTGGTTTGATATGGTTTGCATGTTTGCAGATGTAGTATTGTAGTGACATTTCGTGGCAAGAGATTTGAAAAATAATAACAATGATAATTTACATTTGATGTAGCGCAAACCTTTACATGGATATATTCAGTTGCGCTTCACAATATTGTTATATTAAATTTATGTTAAAGGTGACTAAAACGTAACTATTAAAAACTACCAACCTGTACACTAACAATAATAATAACAATAATAATTAATAATAGTTTATTATTCATTAGGGGCAAAGTAGCATTCAAATATACGATCTAATGCGCACAATAAATAAAAGCCAGCAATTAAAAAAGAAAAGGGTAAATTAAAAAAATCAGTCTTAACAGCAGTTTAAAAAGTGTCCAATGTCTTTATGTTGCAAATTGCCGAAAGTAATGCATTCCAGAGATAAGATGCAGTTGACTGGAATGCACGATCACCAAGAGTTGGACAGGTCTTAATGCCAGGTAACTTGAGGAATATAGATTAAAAATCGATTCGGCTTTCATTTTTTGTCCACGGATACCTTTTAGGTAGATCAGTAGGAAACCTGATGTTAATTTGTTCCCGCCCAAAAGCCTTTTATTTGCGAGAAAGATTAGAATAGTAGCTAATAGTGGTTTTCGAGGTCGGGGTCTCAGACTGGCCTAATTTTTAACCTGAAATACGCTAACATCAAGTTTTCTCGCGCGGTAAAACAAATCCACGCTGAGGAACTTGGACACTTTCCATCAACACAAGAACTCTTTTTCTTTAACTAGAAAATATTTTAACCCTCAGAAGTACACGCAGATTCATACTCCCACCTTGGTACAAGGGAGATGGGGTAATGGAACCCCTCCCCAGAGTTTCTGACATGTTGCAGTATTTCGAAACAATTTTGCCCTCAGTGGAAAAGCTTTTGATCTTCTCAACAAGATGAGGTTTATTTTATGGGCGGTGGCACTACTGGAGGCCTGTGACGTCAACAACAATGGTCGCCACCTTGGCCGCCATCTTGGATTTTACCAAGAATTAGAAATCAGGTTAAATAGCGATAAATGGTACTTTTTTGTGCTTGACATGTAAAATAATACATAAATAAGCACTTTGCATCAATTCATCCACAAGTTTTACTTTTATTGTTGGAAACAGTTGAAAAACACCCATTTTACACATTCATCTACAAGCCATACCTGAGAATTGGCCTGGCCCTGGTTGT